TTTTTACTTGCTCTGCATTATTCTTTCATGTACTGAAAGTAGCGCATTTTGCAAACAGCTAAGCAAGAATACAGTATGTGCAGGGCAAGTATCTTCAGTTTTAAATTTCCAGTGTTCCTTGCTAAGTTATAGGAAACAGAAAACAAATTAGGAGTATTGTTTGGTAAGTTAAAATTAGGTGTTAAAAGTAGGTGACCAATATTTGATTTTCAAGTAGTTGATCATGGCTCAGGCCCACTGAGCCCTTAGTAATTTTTTTTTTTTTAATTTAGCTTCAACTTCTTATTTATAAAAATCTCTCAAGATGAGTTCAGGTACCCATATGTTTGGACATATCTTTAAAATTATGTTTTCTTGAACATGTTATTCAATTCAGATATGTCTTTTATTGGTCTGAGAACAAGATTAGTAGCCAGGAACATCTGAGGTCTAATTTTTGCTGCGATACAAATACTTCTTGTATTACAGTGTTTTTGAATATCCATAGCTTTCGGAATGTGGTGAAACTTGCCTTTTCATATTTCCTTTTCCTTGATACTTTTGGGTTCATTTTTATAAATCTAAACCAAAGCAGACGGGGGGTTTCTCTTCATGGAAGAGTACAGATGAATGGCAAAGATTTTTAAGCTATGTAGTTGCATTACTGAAATCAGAGCCATCAAAACAGAATAGCCATGTTATATTCTCCCATGCCATATTTTAAGTACATATATTGCTATTATAGTATGGGGGAGTTGAATAATTAACTGCATGAGCAGGTCAGGTTGCTTTTTCATAGTATTAGTGATATTTGTAGTGCAGTGCAAGTAACATTTCCACCAGTGTAGGGTTAAAAGAGATGTGTTAAAAGCGTAAATGTCATGTATTAGTAAAAATAATGATAATCAGTAGAGAACAAGTCTTAGTTTCTGTATCAGAAAAATGAATTTTTAATAGACTGTGCCCCACAGGTTTGTGTGGGTTCTAGAACTTTCGAGGCCTAGCAGAGGTTTTATTTCATTGCTGGCTCAAAGGAGCAGTAGTCACGGTGGCCTTGCAGTGTTGGGACGAGGGGACAGTTGCTCAGGGCCACGGGCTGAGGACCAGGCCGAGGACCAGGCCACATCCAGCAGCGCTGGTGCTCCCTGAAAGTTGGGGTCACTGCTGTGTGCCAGGAAGGGGACGGTGTGGCTGCCTTCTGTGGTGTAGCTGTGGGGGGAGGTACGCCAGGACAGGCTTTTACTAAGGTGTCTTAAAGGTAGTTAACGGTGAGGAGTGGATTAGACAAAGGCTCATGAAGGTGAGTCAGAATTAGTGTGACCTAAAAATAGCAGTGACTGACCATAACTTCGTGAGTGCTGTACCTCCTACCATGATTTAACAGCGCTCTCTCAAAACGTAGACATGCAATGCACTCTACAACTGTGTTTGCTGCAGGTATTTTTAAAATAAAGAAGAGTGGCTAATGGTGAAGGGGGGCTTGAGTACCGTGCGGTGCGGTGACCGCTGGGCAGGACAAGCCCTCTCCAGCTTTGAATGTCTCTAACTAGAGTACTCTTGAGAGTTTTTTTAGCCTGTTTGTCAGATTAGTCCCTATTTTACAGGAGGTAAAGGCAGTTCCTGGCCGGTCGGGTGCGCGGGTGTGCTTCGTTTGTGTCTCATGGATAGGATTCAGCTTCTGCCATTTGATCCTGGGGTGAAATTCGATCCCTTCAGCAGAGCTGAAATTGATTAGGAAGATAGTCTGATAGTCCCAATCAGCGTAAACAAAGAATTAAAGCAGTGACTTTTACCTGTCAGGCTGCTTTCACCAAACAAGAAAGCTGGGTTTTCAGGAAGGTCCTTTCTCTTCCAGGTGGCCTGATAGTTGCCTCATACATGTACAAGGCACCTGCATAAGGTTGTTTCTTCTGTGAAGTAGATGGAGGACTCAGCTGATCTTTATGTTACTGTCAACCATAGATGTTGGCCCTATATTCATGTCTTGGCAATAAAACAGAGGAGAGGCAGTGACTGCTTGTGGTAAAGGGTTTGAAAATGTTTGTTTAAGAGGTATAAAAATACGGTGCTCTGTTGGCACATCCTCCTCTCATTAACATAGTACATGCTAGAAAAAAAAAAGGTGGAGTTTTTAGAAATCTTGTGCCAGTTCCATAGGTGATACATTTTCCTGGTAGAAGTATGTTTGTCTCTGCAAAAAGTCTACAATAAATGCTTTTGCTTTTATGAAAATTCCCAGTGTTTCCAGAAGAGATTTGTCTTCTATTCTTTGCATTGCTATGAGGACAATGTGACATGGAGTCATATATATGTGTGTGTATGTATATTACACGTAATATATATATGTATACATAAATATATAATCTCCCCAAATGTGGCTAAAACACTTCTAACTATACTGTTACTTATATTACTACAGATACATGTATGCATATGTTTGATCCTGAAGAACGTGTAGACTTAGTATGCTCCAAGGCATATGTGAGATTTTTTGAACTGGCTTATGCATGGTTTTGTGTTTTACACAATTCATGATGGACTTGGTCCTATAAACCGCACTTCTGGGGGTGGTGTTTTGATGTCTTGGAGGAACAAGTCCATGTAAAAATCTGTGACTGTAAATATAACTTAACTCCTTATGTAATACAAACTCAGTATACACAGTGTGAATGTTAACAGTCGAGTATACGTACATACCATGTGAACACATACTTTTCTCAACCTTGCAGTGAAATCCATACAGATGACTGCATATCCATTGAATGCCATTTATTATTTAAAACTGGGTTTGCATGGAGATGAAAGATTTTGCCTACACAGGGAACAGAATTGAGATGTTAGGCACATTTTCAATATAGGCATGGCAGAAACTTTCAGCAGTGTAGGTAATTTGCAATTGGAATATCTTAATTTGGGATGTGGCATATTTTTCATTGTCTGAAGTATTTAACTGAAAGTGCGTGTCTTCTTTAAAGTAAGCTTCTACATCCAATCTCCGTTGTTTTAATGAAAACTTCTGCGTCTTTGCAAACTCTCTGATTCTGGTAGTTCTGTTGTCCTGGTTGTCTGTTCCTGTTGTCTGTTCTGGTTTCAGACTTATGAAACTGTTTGTGTCACATGAGAACGATTCAGACTGACGCCCCAGCAGCAGAAGCCATAGAGTTTTCCTTAAACGTACAGAGGTTATGATTTCTGCTGGTACCAACATGACACTTTATTAAGACAGATAGGACATCTTAACTTCACCATAAACAAATAGGCATCCAAGTGATGCTGATATTACTTGTCATCCTTCACAGGAAGAGTTGCACTTTTGCAAGATCGAATTAGTTTCCTCGTTTGTAGATGCTGTTGTAAGGCTAAAGTACTTTAATGTTTACGGGGCTAGACTGGGTCCAAATCTTTCAGGCATTGTTTAATGACCCTGTATGGTACCTAAGACAGGACGCCAATTTGCCAGCCACCCCCTGCACGCCCTCCTCTCACACAACTGTGGTTTTCTCTTGCTGAGCAGCAACTGCATTTCCTTTCTGGCTGAGAGAGCAGTGTCTTCTCTCCTAGTCCCTTAGGCAGAGCCTTTTCTGCCTGCTTTCTTGGGCACCAGGGAGGCCTGTTTTTCCTTCTCCCCTTCACAAAGCTGAAGCCTTTCCTTATTCCTTCTAAGACAGCTGTGGCAAGAGCAGGCTGTGCCTTTGCTATTCTTTCCCTGCACTCAACAATAGGTAGGATTGCCATGGTGCTGTCTGCAAGGCTGCCCTTCAGCATCAGTGGCCATTTGGGAGGGTAGAAAATATTTTCAAAAGGTTCTTAATTGCAAAGATGGAACAAAATGTAAGAGCAAAGGTCTGATAACACAGTAATAATTCCAGATTCCTGCAGGGAACTCCTCCAGCTCCATCTGGGGTACTGAATACCAAGCTGGATGTGTCTGGAAGAGGCATTTTGAATGCTCATTATCCTTTGAGGATTGATAAAGGCACAATCTGAAGCTCCAGTCTGTTTTTCTGTATGAATCACTACTCCGTCTTTAATTGATCCCTTCTATTCAAGATGCAAACAATGATATCAAACAAATGTAACCAACAATATATCAAACAGAATATATGTAGCGTTTTTAATATTCCAGGAAGATCTCCTAATAGGATATTACCGCTAATAAAATCAAAGACAATCAGTTATTTGCCAATGTCAGGAAAGAATACCTGTAGATATATATATTTTTTTCTGCTTTCCTGAGAATCCTCAGAATTTTCTGTGGTAGATATGGTCTATGAAAAAGAATGGTACTGGAGATCTATTTTGGTATCTGGCTGGTGTGTCTTCTTCAAATGCTTGGACCAACACTATTGCCAAGAGTAGGGATGAAAAGGATTTTTTTGTCAAGCCAGGCAGGAGTTCGAGGATCTTTGCTTTAGTATGCAACAAAAATATGTTTTGTTTTTTTTGACTTAAGGTAGAACACCTGATTTAGAAAACTGCTGCCACTGGATCTTTGTCTGTCCCCTTTTCTGCCCTTAGTACACATCATAGTTTTGTGGGAATGGAAATGTATATTTTTAAGCAATAATGACTGCTAAAAGATCAAACTAATGTAGTGATGTAGCCTTAATTTCTGCAGTGATTATAAAACCCTGTGACATAGAAGTATGTGGTCAAGTTATATCACTTAAGAAATATTAGAAAAGATTATAAAATTTTGGTACTTTATAAAGCAATTATGACTATAAAATAGTGTCAATACTTGAATTTCATATTTTATGATGTTGTATTAGCATTTTTCCATAAAGACTGTTTTTTTTTGTTTAAACTACACACTGTAAGCATGCATCATGACATACTTTCTTTAATTTGGTACAGAAAATGTGCAAATGCATTCACACAGAAATGCAATGAATGTTTTCTTGTTTGTTTGGTTTTCCTTCAGCTGATCATTGTATCATTTAGTAAGCATTAGCTGAATATTTATGCTGTAGGAAATATTGACAGAGTTCTCTTCCTTCTTCCTTGTCATTATTATTTAGGAAAAGAAGCCCATCAATATCAAGAGAACAGAACAGAAGATACGACCAAAGGGAAGAGAGAGACGAATACTCACAGTATGCTCCATCAGACAGTGCGATGCCCAGGTCACCATCAGATTATTCAGATAGGCGGTCGCAGCGTGGGCCACAGTTATACGAAGAACCTGAACTGGGTGATTATAGGGATTCCAACAGGAGGAGTCGCAGGCGTTCCAAGGAGTATCCGGTAGAAGAGGAGGATGCACAGAACAGAGAAGAATATGAAAGGCAGCGGAGGGAAGAGGAATACCAGGCACGATACAGAAGTGATCCTAATTTGGCTCGTTACCCAGTCAAGCCACAACCATATGAGGAACAAATGCGTATCCACGCTGAAGTGTCCCGAGCACGACACGAGCGGAGGCATAGCGATGTCTCATTGGCAAATACCGAGTTGGAGGATTCCCGGATATCTATGCTGAGGATGGAACGACCGTCAAGGCAAAGATCTGTGTCTGAGCGCAGAGCTGCCATGGAAAATCAACGTTCATACTCTATGGAAAGAACTCGAGAAGCTCAGGGACCAAGTCCCAATCGTCAGAGGACCACAAATCATAGCCCTCCTACACCTAGGAGGAGTCCAATTCCTCTGGAAAGACCAGACATGAGGCGCTCTGATTCATTAAGGAAACAACACCATTTGGATCCCAATTCTGCCGTACGGAAAACAAAACGTGAAAAGATGGAGACCATGTTACGGAACGATTCACTCAGCTCAGACCAGTCTGAATCTGTCAGACCTCCACCACCAAAGCCCCATAAAACAAAAAAGGGAGGTAAAATGCGCCAGGTTTCTTTAAGTAGCTCAGAAGAAGAATTGGCATCCACTCCAGAGTACACGAGTTGTGATGATGTGGAGATTGAAAGTGAAAGTGTTAGTGAAAAAGGTAAGATTACTATTTTTTTTAATTTATTTATTTTTTTTTTACTATTTCAATATATGGATGTGGTTTGGTTTCCATTCTGTTATATGGTTATTTTACATATTAGAATTGATTGCAAACACTTATCTACAGCCCTTCAGATGTGACTGAGGTTTGTTATGATGGAGGTTTCCTTTTTCCGATTTTGTTTTTCATTTATGTAAATCTCAATGTAATGATTTACATCGAAGAGAGTGTCACAGCTACTAGACATATCTGGATATGTTTAAGGAAAAATGTACCTTTTGAAATAGTTAATTAAATCTGTAAGTTATCTCTCAGTCTGGGCTGTCATACAAGGCCATGGTTTCATGTCCATTAACAGCAGATCTGTGTACTCCTGGATCACACATGAGTGCGAATCTGGATCAAGTGTGGGCGCATGACCGCATTTCTGTTGTATTAACTAGAGCACATGATGCAGAGCTTATGCCAGTTTCATGCTGGCTGCTGTAGGTTAAAGAGCATCTGATCTGGAAAAAAAAAAAAAAAGTATGCAAATTTAACTCATTCAAGTTTTTTGTTTTCTTTTTTAAATTGAAAAGACTAAGGTGATTTATATCAATGGAGGTTCCTTATTGCTATGGTGCTTTTTGATTTTAGTGCTTTTTAGGATTTTTGGTGTTGCAGTTACTCCATTATCAGAAAGAAAATAATTAATTGAAATTATTCTCAACCTATGCAATGGTAATGTATGTCTTAAATACGGAAGCATTGGGAACCATCAGTTTAAACTGAATCTAGTTAATATTAGTTCGCTTGCTTTCATGTATCTTGTTGGTCTGAAATGCAATAGTTACGACTTGTTTTCAATTCTTTTTATGCCAATGCATCTTTACTAATGCTCATGAGTTGTGTGTGCCCCTTAATAACAATGTTCAAGGTATGAACATGGAGAAGAAAGAAGTTCCTTTCAGTGTTCATCTACTATTGTGGATTGGGATTAGAAAATTCACTGTTCATTGTAAATACTGTATCAAGTTGCTTTTGAAGTACATAAGTCATTGGAGGTGAAACTACAATGAATTTGTATATGTTGATAGCAGAAACCATGGTCTGATAGCCAAGGAGCAAAATAGTGCTCCTTGAAATTTGGCTCAGAGTCGAAGTAGGTAGTTACATGCACTTCATCAAGCAGCTGTGATGAAATCCAGATCTCATTAGTCTTCCTGACAAGCAGCAAAACTCCTATGAACTTCAGGGTGTTCATGATTTTATTCTTAGTAGCAACCTTGAGGAAAATAGAACCAATCAATTTCTGGGGAACAGTAGTAAAGTGCTATTTAGTGAAATTCACTATAGGAAGCATTATACAGAATAACACAAAATATATTCTTTGGATATGTAACACACAAAACATACCTATAAATCATACTATACAAAAATGTTAGATTCTTTGTCACTATAATAAACTGGCATAAATTAGAGTTTTCACTGAGATCATTTTGTATTTTAACTATCACAGAAAACACATTATTACTGATAACAATAGTTAATGATAATGTCATCTCTCTCCTGATTTCTCAGGTAGTGAATGGAGCTAAATTGAGCATGTATTTGATAAATGCATGAAGAAAGCTTGAGAAATCTTACAGGAAAAATGCCCCATTTTATGTTTTGCTGATCTGAAGTGAATTGCCATGTATGGTTTTCATGTCATAGCTGCATCAGTGTGGCCCAGTGGTGGCCTGCGACTAGAACCAGGCTGGAGAACAGCCTGTTTTTTAAGAGAGGACACGAGCCACTGCTTGAGCTGGGGAAGAGCTCTGCCTGCTTCTGACTGTGCCTGCTTCCAGCCAGAGCTGGCGGCTGCTCTTTCTGGCCTTGCTGACGTGCTGGGAGGCAGGGACTGTGCACAGAGCAGGCAGCCAAGCCAGCAGTTGTGCCCATACCCAGAGTCAGAGCCAGCTGTAGCAGCCCTGCTCATGGTATAGGACGATAACCTCAGCCCCTCTGTACTTTTCCTCCACCCTTATTCCTAGAGCAGAAGCTCCCAGAAAGGATTTGTTTGTGTTTGGGAAGGTTTGGCTTCTGCTGGGTGTGGGATGGAGCCGAGAGGTCTGCTAGGATGATGCCTTCACAGCTGCTGCCGACAGGCCTGCAGAGTCCTAACTCTTTATTTTTGTCAATTTCTGTTACCATGTTGAGTCCATACAAGCAAGCGATTTCTTCCTGAATACCACCAAAAGGAATCCAGCACATAAAAGCCCATCAGTGTTCCTTGCATTGCACTGCAATACTTCCTTTTGATCAAACGGCAATTAATTATTTTAAACACCTCCTATAAAATGGGCTTCTCCTCCCCATGGATTACTTCCTTCCTGCCCTACAGGAATCCTCAGCCCCAAGGATTTCTCAGCTGCCCCTCCAAGTCACACACAAAGCCTCTTTGGCCAGAGAGGAACTGCTAACCCCAAAGCATTTGGCCTTGGAGTTGCAGTTGGAGAGTGGCAATGTTAGACGGAGAATTTGGATGCAGTTATAATGAGTTCTTTAAAAGGAGAGAATAAGTTGTTCTCCATCTCCTTCTCTATGGAGTATCCCTAGTATTTGGGCCTGGTCTCTTTTCAGTAGCTGTCTGCTTTAAGGTAATTTCTCCTTAATTAAAAAAATAAATAAATTAAAAATGTTGGTTTTCAGGGAGGGGACAGGACAAAGTTATTTTTCTGCTCATTTCTTGTAATGGCCAGAGAAAGCATTGGAGTGCTCCTGCCTCATCTGTGTGGGGAGCAGGGAAGCTGGGAGCAGAGAAAGCTGATGAACACCCGAACACCCAAAAGAGATGCAGGCAGCCAGTAGACAGCCATGTGAGACACAGCCGTGATGAAGGAATATTATAGACGGAGGTTCAGCTGCAGAAGCAGAAGAGCTAGCTTCTTAGCTGCACAGGTTTTGTAATGCAACTATATTTGGACCAGGAAATTCGGGTCATAAACTAGGCTGAGGAATGGCAGGTTGGAGTCGGAGTCAGGAGGCTGACAAACAAGGGGAGTAAGTTTAGGAATTGCAAAACAAAATGTCATTGGGTCACTGGAGACCAGTGGATCGAGATGGAAACCAAGGCTGAAAATGGGGAGAACAAACCCAGTAGGTCAAGTAGGCTAGAGCTAAGATCCGTAGTTTGGGAAGAACAGCTAAAGTGAAGGCAATGGATCTAATAAGGATAACTGAGAAGGTGAACTGGAGCTTGCTAATCCTCTAAGTGTTGGTTAGAGGGTGCCAAGGTTAGCTGAGAAGCAGAGGCAGCAGTTTGGGTGAGACGGTGAGTGGCTGGGAAAAGGATGTTTGGTGACAAGGACGGGAGGGCCCAGCTGGGAGAGGGACGGGGACATCCCAAGGAAGGACACGGGTTTGGTGGTATGCAGGTTAGGCCAAGCTGTATCCATAGCTTGTCTGATTTTAGTCTCTTCTGTTGTGAGGAAAAACTGGAACATTTCTGTTTGTATTTTCAGTTAGACGTTTGTCAGTCCGGTTGTAAGGAATAGGCCTTAGGGCCGGCTTGAGATGGCCCCCAGCATTTGTCGGCCAGCATGAAGCAGATGTGAGGCCGAGCACCACACGTTTGCTCTGTGAGAGCACAGGCTTTCCAGGTATGGTTAATAAATAACTGTTCAGGCATTCTTTGTGGCAGTGCTTTCATGCCCACAGTCAACTCAAGTGCCTGAAGAGACCTGCCACAGTGTGCCTTGGGACTCCTGGGGCTGGCCCCACACCCAGAGCACGGGAGGTGCTGCAGCAGGGGCTCCTTCTGCCCACTTCTCCCCTCAAACATTTAGGGGTCCTGGGGGTACAACAGTGCTTCACAAATCCCTAAAACACCAGTGCTCCAGCAAGGTATAATCTCAGATGGAAAAAAGAGAATTCTTTCATGGAAATCTCGGTGCTTGATAGCCCTAAATACTGCTCTAATTTGCTCTAAACATGAAGTAGGACATAATGGATTTTCCAATGGTGGTAAGCAGTTCAGGCGTACTTGTGTTCTGTGCTCCCAGCCACCTTCCAGAGCACCCGCGAGTGGTATCTGCTTGCACAGGCGGTGACTTGACTCCTGATGTGGGTGGAAGCTGTGGTGGGGAGTGCAAACGTGTCTCTGTGTTCCCTCAGAGGTGCGGCTCTGAAGTTTACTGTTTGCTTTTACCGCTCTCTTATTAAAACATCATATCTAGATGGATGACCATTTTTATTATCACAGGAAATCATACGCATAACATGTGGATAGACAGGCTCCAGTGTTCTCATATTCTTCAAGTCCCTCAGCTGTTGACTGAAAGCTTTAGAGCACAAGCTGTGTGAGTAAAAATGTGTGTATGCAGGACAAGGGTCCATATGCTGTTCTTTGTCACTAGGTGCACTAAAAACATGGGTATATGACCTTGCCTTGACTGTATTACACTCTTTTTTTCTTTAAAAAAAAAAAGAAAAAAAAAGAAGTAACTGCACTTTTTCATTACGGAAGTTAAAAATGTCATTTCTGGAATGGGACATTCTTGTTTATTGAAAAGAAAAACCAAAACCAACCAACCAACCAAACAAAAAAACCCAAACAAATCAATTTAAAACAGTTTATTTATTTATTTTTTTTTGGTGGAGAATAAAGTCTATCTGGGACCTCTCAAACCTATATCCTCTTGTCACAAGCAAAAATGTATGGTAGGTAACTCATGGATGAGGAAAAGAAAGCATGCTTTCAGTGTGCTCCTGCAAGAACAGTGTATGGCTTCCATGAGCAGAGCTGCCACGCAAGTGCGATGCCATCACAGTGCTTGCACTTCTCAATTCCAAGAGATAAAGGGCCTGATTTCAGTCTGACTTGTGCCACTTTCATACATCTTCAACTTTGACTTCAAAGTTACACTGAACTAAATTAGATCCGAATGAGGTCATTGTTTCTAAAAGCTGCTTCATTCAGGTTAGAGAGTTCCTGAAAGTCTAACTTCGGTGGAACAAATGGGAATTATACTAGA